AAAATTTAAATTAGATTGAGTCATTTAATATCATTAAGTAACACTTAAAGTGCATATAAATAAGTGCCAATAATGTTACAATTAAATATAGTTTCAGTAGCCAAGTGAAAGTTACATCAAGTTTTAATCAAGTTCTTATCTTTTTTTCAAACGTGCTTTAAACATGCTGTAGCTTTTGTGGTCATATGAAAAAGGAGATGAGAGTGAGCAACAACAGGAAATCAAATCTCAACTTAGAATTTTATTTAAAAAATCTGTAGAATCTTAATTTATTTTAAACTCCATAAAATAGCCCAAAAAATCTAATTAAATTAATTAATTGATGTTCAAATAAAATACTTTATAAAAAAAAACTTTTTAAAAAACTACGTTTTTCGCGTAGACTAAAAAGTAGAAAATAACTTTTATTCTTGGTTGTAAAGAATTTGGTTTTAAATTTTCAGATTATATTTAATAAATTTTTATATCCTAGTCAATATTGTTCACAAAGTTTCGAATAAGTGCACTTTGATCTTATCGTATAACTCAACAACTTAAAAACGTGGGCGCATTATAAGAGGAGAAATAAGTTTATGTGAAATCAATACTTTATGATAAACTTAAATTAATGCGCCCACGTTTTTAAGTTGTTGAGTTATACGATAAGATCAAAGTGCACTTATACGAAACTTTGTGAACAATATTGACTAGGATATAAAAATTTATTAAATATAATCTGAAAATTTAAAACCAAATTCTTTACAACCAAGAATAAAAGTTATTTTCTACTTTTTAGTCTACGCGAAAAACGTAGTTTTTTAAAAAGTTTTTTTTTATAAAGTATTTTATTTTCTACTTTTTAGTCTTATTCTAATGAAATAGAGAAATAAAGATTATAGGGGGTTTATAGGTACCAGGTGTGTTGAACTCCACTTCGTTGCACTTCGTTACGTTCAACTGTTTATAGATTACAGTAGGTTTATAGGTTACAGGTGTGTTGAACTTCACTTCGTTGCACTTCGTTACGTTCAAATGTTTATAGATTACAGTAGGTTCATAGGTTACAGGTGTGTTGAACTCCACTTCGTTGCGCTTCGTTACGTTCAACTGTTTATAGATTAGAGTAGGTTTATAGGTTACAGGTGTGTTGAACTTCACTTCGTTGCACTTCGTTACGTTCAACTGTTTATAGATCACAGGAGGTTTATAGGTTACAGGTGTGTTGAACTTCACTTCGTTGCACTTCGTTACGTTCAACTGTTTATAGATTACAGTAGGTTCATAGGTTACAGGTGTGTTGAACTTCACTTCGTTACGTTCAACTGTTTATAGATTACAGTAGGTTTATAGGTTACAGGTGTGTTGAACTTCACTTCGTTGCACTTCGTTACGTTCAACTGTTTATAGATTACATTAGGTTTATAGGTTACAGGTGTGTTGAACTCCACTTCGTTGCACTTCGTTACGTTCAACTGTTTATAGATTAGAGTAGGTTTATAGGTTACAGGTGTGTTGAACTTCACTTCGTTGCACTTCGTTACGTTCAACTGTTTATAGATTAGAGTAGGTTTATAGGTTACAGGTGTGTTGAACTTCACTTCGCTGCACTTCGTTACGTTCAACTGTTTATAGATTACAGTAGGTTTATAGGTTACAGGTGTGTTGAACTCCACTTCGTTACGTTCAACTGTTTATAGATTACAGTAGGTTTATAGGTTACAGGTGTGTTGAACTTCACTTCGTTGCGTTCAACTGTTTATAAATTACCAGTTTTCAATGGGAAATTAGTAACGACTTTCAAAATTTTTCATTCGTTTTATAAAATTTAATTTTTTTAAAGCATTCATTAGTAAAGTACATTAAAAATCGTAAAGATTTTGTGTTTATCTGTACCATTTCTACTTCATAACGTGTGGATTCTTAACATAAAGATGCAAATCACATATGTAACGTATTTATAACGGATTTTCAAATTTAAATTCAATGAATATCATTTATATGTTATGCAAAAATACGTCAAACCGTTAATAAAAAGAAAAGTCAATTTAATTAAGTTGGTGAAGTGTTATAAATAATGCAATACATTTAAAACAGCATAAATTTATGCTCAAACTATGTGTGCTAAATGCACATCGCATATTAATAGTTATTTTGCATTAATTCGTAACGGACTTGTGCTTAACGGTTTTTTTGAAAATTCAAATTTTCACTTACGAATATTCATGAAAAAATTACATGTCAATTTTTTTGTCTTACCAGAATATCTTTAGCTATTCTGGTAATATTAATTAAACTATAATGAATCATATAAATGACTTTAGAGCATCACAAGTATAATATTTAATACAAATCAAAATTTTATATCATTGACATTGGATTTTTTCCCATATAAAAAAGTTTTACATAAATTGTACTATAATTAAGCATTTTTGTGTTTCCAAAGTGTTAAAATATTGTATTGTCACCGGGAATACATGTGCATTAAAAATTTGAGCTCGATTGGAGCAGTAGAAGTGGTCGAAAAATTGATCGCAAGATTTGAAATTTTTTGCAAACAAACAAACAAACAAACAAACAAACAAACAAACAAACAAACAAACAAACAAACAAACAAACAAGAAAGCAAGTTAAGAAAAACGTAGTAAAATTAAAAGTCATCAATATTCTGACAGCTATTTTCATAAAGAATTGAACATCAGACATGAAAAATTATTACAACAAAAATGAGATTGGCTTCTCCTACTCTTCTAACGCATCGAATGTCTACTCTTTGCCGACTTCTCCTTGTGTTGAAAAACCGCGAGATGCTTTTTGTTTCTTTTTTTTTTCTTCACCGATGTTACGATTTGAGATTTTAGTATAAAAATTGAAAGTTTGCCGAAAATTAACTCAGTTCTGTTAGACATATCGAGCGCTGTATATATTATTTAAGATTAAAATTTGTGCCTTATTTTGTGATTTTATTTATTTAAAATACTAAAAAATATTTAATTAAAAAATGCGTGCGATTTTGGTGAGTGTGTTACAAAATATTAAGTGAAAATATTGTACATGATAATTAATAAGTTGCATGCTATGGAATACAATAGACGAAATGTCTCTTAAAAAATATTTTATCAAGTGATAATTAAAGATTCATGAAGAATTGATCGATAGTGAAATTATTGATCTAGTTAAATGGTTAAAAATAAATAAATTGGATATAAGTTATTGACAAAAATTACGCAATAGTGCACTGACATCATTATGATTTAAATATTGCAAAACAATTCATTTTAAACTTGTCTGAATCTCTTATTAGATATTTTCAAAAAAGAGTTGCATTAGTCAAGTCTAAATCATCTTGTGCATTCTAAATCACCTTAATACCGTGAACTTCTGGCTTATCCTCATAAACTTCTGTACAATAAATCATTTTGACAAAATATAAAATAAAATCACACATTAGCCAAATATAAATCTGTCAAACTTGCTATATCAACATCACATCTGGCTCATCTTGATTCAATCAAGTGAAATGAAGTTAAAGACATTTTATTGAACGTGTTCCATTCAAAGCCATTATTAACATTCACCACAGACAATAGTGTGTTGTTAAAAATAGCCAAAAAAGAGTTGTCAATGAAAGTCTTTTAAATATTGGCATTTAGAGTGTTTTAAGAGATGATTATTGGCATTGTGTTAAATTAGTTTTAGATTTTTGAGAATTTTTTAAATAAACTTAATTTTAAAATCTTGGTTTCTGATTCTGGAAGTTTAAGAATGTGATCTTACTAGCATTGCATGTAGAATCTAGCATGATTTAAAATTAATCTTAATTAATTTTCTGAACCTTCGAAAAACTTAAAAAATAATCCAGGATGTAGGAAGCGATCAATTCCGATCAATTGTACAAGACAAGCAAAAAAAGAGTCACCAAAAAAGTTCCAACAAAGCTGATCAATTAAGGATAATTTATAAATTTCTTTCAAATCTCACTGGTTTCTATATGTTTCCAATTCCCTTCTTTTATGAACTCTATTAAAGAACAGTAAAAAATCTTACATATCTAGCAGAGAATCTTAGTCAAAAGAATATGCGGTCATTATTTCTAGTTCATTCAACATGAACATTATTACCATCTTCTTCACATTATATCCGGTATTTAAATCAAAAAGTTTTCAAACAATCGGGTCGAATCATGAATTAAAAGAGATATGAAGAGAACAGTGCATTAATCATAAAGTAAGCTGTTCATTTTGTAATTGTAATAAATTGAGTGTGATTCTGATCAGCAAGAATTGATGATTAAAGAAGAACTGTCTTGAAAAATGTTTAAAAGAAGAAAAGAATCCTTTAAGACAAGAAATTCAATGTAATAAGAAATGTGAAGCAGCTAAAATTTTGCCTTATCAACCAATTCATCATTATGACTGTGCATTTTAACACGGAACTCTTTGAATTTTTGGAAATGTTCTCATTTGCAGTCATTTGAAAGAACTTTGACAAAATCGAATCACATAATTCCGAAAAAAAATAATATATTCAAGTTTTAAAAATAAACTAGAAATTCTTGTGTTGCTGCTAAGCTGGTTAATCAGCTGTTTAAGAATCATCACATTAATTTAGCAACATTTTTAATCCAATTCACATTATTATCGTCACGTTAAGGAAGTTAACAAGATCCCTAATATATGACTTTAATGAAGATAAGTCAATCACGAATATATCACGTGATTATTGATAATTGCCTCCACATGATTAGTCTTTTCTTATGATTTATAAAAAAATCTTAAAGCTGCAAAGGATACGAATAGGAGAAAAGTCATTGAAACAATAAATCTCATCTTAATCATAAATTTGAGGCATCAAATGACATCAATGCCAAAATCCGAAGGAATATTCGTGTAGCATCTTTAATGAATATTCAGCTAATCTGCATGCGATCGTTATGCTGAATGCGAAATTTTAGACATATTAATAATCAAAGTGTGAACTTTATTTTTAAAAATTACCACACTTTGAAAAAAATTGGAAGCTCTCGTGTCGTAGTCAGTAAATCCTCGATTTTTACAATAAATGCTCTCGAAAATTAATTTTTTTAATATCCTAATTTAAATAATGTGACATTTAGAAAATTTTAATGCATATTTTATCAATCTTTTTCCATCACTTCCAGATTTTTGCAACGCTCACGGCCGTTGTACTCGCTCGACCAGGTATATTTCCTTAAAACTTAATCAAACTCGTGTTATCTATAATAATTAATCTATTCTTATATTTAGATGTCAGCCACTTGAATGGCTATAAGTATAATCAACCAGGTGGTGGAGCATCAAATGGAATTGCATCAGGCAACAGTTTTTCCAATGCAGGAGCAGGCTTCAGTGGAGGTAACAATGAACTTGAAAGCTTAAATAATTTGAATGACAAAGGCGATTTGGAGGAATTGTCGTCGACCTTTATGGGATTTACTAGTTATGATGCACCATATGTTTCAGGAAATAATTATCAAGGAGGTTATACAGACTCAGCATCATTTGGATCAAGCGCTTCAGGAGTAACAAGTGGAGCACCATTAGAGGAAGTATCTGTACAAGTATCATCAAGCGCATCAGCTAATGGAATTTCTGGAAGTGGATATTCATCACAATCAACTGGATTAGATGCTGGATATCAAGCTGGATCAAATGGTGCAGCCTCTGGATCAAATGGTGTAGCAGCTGCATCAAACGGTTTATCAGGAGGAGCTAATGGATTCTCAGGAAGTGCCAATGGATTCTCAGGTAGTTCCAATGGATTCTCAGGAAGTTCAAATGGATTCTCAAATGGAGCTAACGGTTTGTCAGGAGGATCAAATGGATTTGTTGCTGGATCTGAAAGTACTGGTGCTGGATTCTCAAATGGAGGACAAAATGGTGGCATCAATTTGATCCAAGGACAATCTCAATCATTTGACTTAACAGGAGGATCTAATAGTGGACAACGTGTTGTTTACAAACCAGTCATCAAGCAAGGCGAACCAATCATTACCAAAAACTTCTATGTGGTAAGAAGCTCATTATTTTGATTGATTTGAATCAATCAGTCATAGTTAACAAATATTTTGTTTTTAAAATTTTAAGCATGCTGCACCAGAAGAAGACGAAAATGTTCGTGTTGAAGAGAAGGTTCATGTTGTGAGACCACAAAAGACATACAAAATTATCTTCATTAAGGCACCATCAATTGGCTCATCACTCAGTGCTGCTAATTATCCAGTTTATCCACAGGTATGTCGATGTCCAATAAGAGCATTAGCTAATATTAATTTTGTGTTATTTCTATTTATAGAACGAAGAAAAGACTATTGTCTATGTCTTGTCCAAGAAGAATGATGATGTCTCAGATATTGGCGAGATTCCAACACCACCACCATCAGTCACACACAAACCAGAAGTCTTCTTCATCAAGTACAAGACGAAACAAGAAGCTGCTGATGCCGTCGCCAACATTCAATGTAAGAAAGTATCAAAATTTAAATTAAAAGTCAATGACTAAACTTTTTTGTTCACAGCTCAACTTCAACAAGAATCAGAATCAGGAGCTACAGCAAATGCTCAAAGTCTCAGCATTGGAAGTACAGGAAGTGAAAATGATGGAGGTAACCTTATCGTTACAAGCTCTGGATCAGCAAATGAAGCTGGACTTGATCAAAGAATCACACCTGATGACATCCGTGATGAATCTGGAGACATTGATGAAACAGCTTTTGGAGTTTCTGGTGCTGGTGATTTTGGTGGATCAGGTAGGTCAAGAATAATAGAAACCAAAACAGAATTTAATGATAAAATTTGCTCGTTAGGAATTCAAACTATCACAACATCATCAGCCTCAAGTGAAACTCGTGTAGGACCAAGCGGTGGACAATTTGCACTCCAAGCTAGCAACTTCGGGCCAACTGGAGGTCAAGTAATAACACAAACTGCTCAACTCCCAGCTGGCGATGCCCTCCCAGCCTTACAAACACAATACACAGAATATAATGGAGGACAAACATACACACAACAAGAACAAGTTCCAGCATTCTCACCAGACTCAAGTGGAAGCAGTGCTGAATTTATTCCACAACAATTCATCAAGATTGATCCAAATCAGTCAGAATTCAATAACAGACAAGCCTATTTACCGCCAAATGCCAGACGATTCAGATTTTAAACTCATCACATCTAAATTATTTCATCATACTTTAAATAATTGTAAAAGGCACAACGACCACAAATGACACACATTTTCGATGGTCGTGTGGTTCTCTCTCTCTCTCTCTATCCTCACATATAGACATCATTTTTTTTAAATAAGAAATGTCCAAAAAATGCAAATTTTTTGCCATAAATTTCCTCATTTGATGCAACAACAACAACAAATGATAATTTTAAGCTAAGTTTTGTGAATCAAATTTTGATTATTTTATGTAAATAAAGATGCAAAAAAGTTAATAAAATAAAAACTTGAAATTCACAAGAAGAAGATTGTGTGGTCTTGATTTGGCATAAGACAAGGAGATTCCACTTTCGTGGTCATTGATTTTGATTATCAATATGATTTGTAGGTTGATGATGATCGGAGTTATTTAAAAAATTGCAAAAAATGCGAATAAAAACAGCAAAAATGAACGACTTTTTTATGCAATTTTGAAGGTCAGTGATTGAGCATTTCATTCATAAATTGGTAAACTTTCAAGCTGTTAATAGCTGATAACAGAGTCTATTAAAAGTAAGGTTGTTGATATGATTTTGAATATTAGCTTGACGTTAATAAAATCAATTTGCATGACCTTTAACATTTGCATATCAAATTATATTGTTAAAAGAATTGTGTATTTTGATTGCAAATTAATGACTGAAAATTGTCACATCAAAATTTAACAAAGTGACTATCAATATAAAATTTGTGTCTAGCAGACAAAAGTCATTTTTAATTTCAGTATTTTAGCGCCACACTTAAGAAACACGATACACAAGTCGTCTAGATTGAAAGAAATGTGCGATCATAATTCATGTTTATTGATTCTTATGGAATTATTGAAACAGTTTTTATAATTTAAAACGTGTTGCATTCCAATACCTCTGGACAAAAACGTTACGCACGATATTTGAATTAGTTCTAAAATAAGAACCATTAGAACTTCTTATTTTAGAACTTGATGACCGTTAAAATTTTAAGAATAAATTGATGTTTTTTGCACTTTTTTCTTGCTAAAGCTACTTAAGCTACTAAAAACTATAAGAAGATTGAAAGTAGAACAAGTAAAACCTAGTCAAAAAACTTAATTTTAAGAAAAATTAGATTTTGTAAAGCTTAAATTTTGTAAACAAAGATTTGAATCAAATTCAAATTTTAAGCTTTTTTAAAAGCTTATTTAATGGATAAAAGCGCAATTCAGAGGTATTAGGTTGCATCTAATTCTAATATAGAGCCATCATCTATTTAGATTCTCAATCATTTTCAATATTCATAAATCACAATTTTCTGAGAAAAAAAACTGAATTCTACTAATTTCCTCTTCTGAAGATAATAAGTGTCCATAATCTTAAGCAATGAAGACTTCCTCATATGCCGCGAGATTAAAAAAAGTTTTGCAACCACTGAACTAAACCAAAACCACAAAAACTAGCAACTTAATTTAACAATATTTTCTTAATATAAATTTTACATCTGATCCTGAAACGGCACATCACTGCAGATTGGTGCAGATGTCCAATAAAACAAACAAACTCGCATAAATCATTAAGGTGCTGTTGACATCCAAGTCAAAATTATGAATAAATTATCATTCAACATGGCATGCCTTGCAGGAGATTTTGAACTTGACTTTGCCTGTGACTTTTACTTGAGTTTAATTAAACAATTTTAAGTTTTAATATTTTTTCAAAATTGAATGTTAAATATTTGATTGTTATCACATTTTTGGAACTTATATAAATACGTAGTCATATTTATTTGTAAGCTTGTTCATGATTTAAACGATTCTTTCTCGAAGATGGGTTCATTAGTTAAAACTAAGGTGAGTAATGAAGTTGACTACTAGTTTTAATGTGTTCATTAAATTTAGGATCAAGTAGCTGATTTTTAAAAATTTCAACTGAATTTTATTTCTAACCCCGATTGGCACACATTAAAATTCATTGAAATGTTTGCTACCCGGCAATTGGTCAAATACCCTCTTAATAATTTTGCATTCAATTACTCATCAAGTTCTTTCAAAACAACATCGTTCATTGTACTCTAATTAAATACGGAATTTTCAGGAAACAATTTATTTATTGGAATTTATCGATTACTCTAAAATAAGTGAGATGTTTACAAGTATACCATAAATAAAATCTCGATTTTTTTAAAACTTATAGAGCCATTATTTCACGCAGTGCAATTGTACTTAAAAACTTGTAAAATAATTATGTTAAATAATCAACAATTTATCGTTTGAATATCCTTCAATTCTAATTCCATTTAATCAACATTAAAATTTTCAGTTCAATCAAAATGACATCCAGATGTCGCTAGTGAAGCATCTGAACTCATAAACTACAGAGTGACAAAAAACATAATTTTCATCAATCCGCAAATGCAAAATAATCTCATAAAAGAATCATGAATATAAATTAAGCAGATAACTGTACTCACGTGCACTTTCCAAAATTGTTTTCAACACTTGCAAATTTTCACTTGTTCTCTCCTCCGATCGTATGTTCATACATATTGAATAAATCTTCTTTATCATCGGTTGTATTGAGCTTCGACTCGGTAAATTGGGAAGTTTTGAGATAAACGAGTTGATAGCATTTAAATCTTTTGGGAAATAAGAAGAAGAGTTTTGTGTGTGTCAATGGAATTAATCATTGTCAATTAAATTAATGTTCTGGAGAGGGATGGAAAATTGAAAAATCTTTGAAACAAATTGATTTGAAATTTTTTGTTAAATTTTTGAGTTATATTTTTGAGGTCAATTTGAATGTTTGATTTTACTTATAATATATTTACTTATAGCAAGAAATTCATCCTGGTCTTCTTGTTAACAAGCTTCATCTAGTACATTACGACCCTAGTACAACAGAACTCTAGTACATTACGACTCTACTACACTAGAACTCTAGTATATTCCGAGTCTAGCACACTAGAACTCTAGTACATTCCGAGTCTAGTACACTAGAACTCTAGTACATAATAGAACTCTAGTACACTAGAACTCTAGTACATTAGAACTCTAGTGCATTATAGCTCTATTTATACCATAGTAATCTAGTACTTTAGTCCTCCAGTTTTCTTGTATTCTTGGTCTAGTACACTAGAAACTTAGTTATTATAAACTCAAATCCAATTTCCAATCAACATCCACCCCTCGTCTACTTAAAATCCAATAATTCATACAAACCTTCATATTCGAAATGAGAATTTGCACCCCACTCTCCTTTATTAACCAAATATAATTCATGACTTTTGTATTGATTGATGAAATTACCGCATGTGAATTTATATGGATTCTCACATACAGACTCCTTCAAATCAGCCCAACCGACAATCTGTGAAAGAAAATGGAAATCAATTAAATATCATTAAGTGACGCATTAGAATATAAATGTTCACATTAGACTATCTTCTATTTCTTTTCTTCTCGCTCTTCCCCAACCCATAATACGTTTTATTGATTTTGAGCAACGGCAGCATAAAAAACATATTCAACAGCTTGTAGACATATTTTTTCTTCTATCTCCACTCCGATGAAAACAGATCCCCAAAATAAAAATAATAATAATAGATATAATATATTATCTGTGTATGGTAAATATGCTTATGAGCTTCTTTTTTATGCTCCCCACATATATGTGTGAAATGATATCAACCCGCATTTTTAAAGCTAATTTTCATTTCGATTTGAATGCTAATTTCTGTCTGCTTTATGTCAATTTTCATTTAGAGATTGCATAATAATAAAAAAAAACTCCAATTTTTTTTTCAACACGTTGCTATTTTTTTTATTATTATTCAGTTGTTCAGGTGCACATTTTGCAGTTTGCACTTTAAAAATCAATTCTCATTGCCTACATACAAGTGGAACATCGATGATGCACTTGAAAATTTCCCCCCTTGTCGTTCAGCTTTTTCATGTTTGCTCAATGCATTAAAATATAATTCAACAACTTATTAATTATTTTTGATACTGACATATTTTTTTTCCCTCGTTTTTCACATGTCACTGGTTGGTTTTCAATTATTTTAAATTGGTGTGGTGAAAAAATAATTGAAATTTCATGATTTTTGTTGATTTTTCATCTTTTTGTTTTTTAACTTATGATGTTGATTGTGGGTGATATATATGGACATAATATAATAATAAATAAATTAATATTTTTGACTGTTGGCAATTTTAAAGAAAATTTTCTGATTTTCTGAAGCTTTAAAAATGGATTTCAGTTAATTTTTTAAATGAAAAATGAAGACAAATGAAAAAAAATTCGAATATGGACCCCCCCACCTCCCTCCATCCTCCTCTTTTATAACTTCCCATGAAGATTTCAAGCTTACTCTATATTAAAGTTTCACAAAAAAAATAAACATTATCTCCGCAGCACCAAAAATTATAATTCTAAAGCAGAACTAAGAAATATAAAAAAAAAATAAATTCAAAGCTTATCAGGTTTCTGCTATAAAATTTTCATGTGGAAAATTCAATTCGGATGTGAATTAGGCGAATATGAGCTTCATTCTAATTTTCTATTCATACAAAGCTGATCAGCAGAAGTTTTGTTTGAAATTGACTTTTTTATGAATGAATAAAATTTTAATTTTTATTCGACTATTATTTTTTTAAAGCTAATGAATTTTAAATTTTTTAGTAATTATCAAGTTGAAATATGCTTTTGGATCGTTTTAAAAATGACCTTGTTTTAAAAATGGATTTTTAGACTTTAATGTTATCTCTGTTTTGTGGGGCTCTTTTTGCCAGTACAAAACTAAAAACAGTAGCTTGAGTATGTCTGGTCGATTATGAATAGGAATAAAATTACATTCTATTAACAAGTAACAAGTAACAATAGGTGCAGAGGCGTAGTCAGGATTTTTTTGGGGGGGATTTTGAAATTTGTATGTTAAGTAATTTAAGGTCGGGAGGGTTTTCGGACTTTTTTTTTCAAAAACCTAGCAATTTAAAAAAATTCAAAAATATGGTGTGGTTTGACCCCAAAAACCCCCCTGGCTACGCTTCTGACTAGGTTGATGTTAATTCTAAAATCCCGAAACTTTCTAAAATAAAATTTTGGATCCTACCCCTTAGAACCTCGAGCTTTTTGTCAACAAAAAGTTAAGTCAAACACTAATGCAATCAAAAACAATCCCTCAACAAATCTTAAACTGTCAAAAAAATAATGCCAAATAAACACACAAAACAAAGTTTTTTCTCGCCATATTAAAATGAAAAATATTTTTCTCTCAAATTATTTGACCTAATTTTCTAGAAAAAATTCACGAAAAATTATCCACGCACACACCGTTCAAACTTAATAAATGGCATTTTAATAGAAACTGACCTAATTGAAGTTGTTCATATTTGATTAAAATTATTTCTCCATCAATATAAATTAATTCTTCCACACTGCAATATCGATTTCATTAATATTGGTTATTTAAATAATTTATCGGGATATCGTTTGAAGTTTCAGGGAACATATTCAAAGTTTCATGAAACTTGATGCTATTTTTAGTCAGAACCTTTCTAAATCAATAGCCAACGCAGTTAATTACCAAAGCTTTTTTTTGATAAATGAATATGAATGTTCTTTCCTGTAAAGCTATCGAATTTCAATCTCCATCCTTTTTCCATCCGCCCTTAAATTAAAAGTCACTAGCCAAAAATACGAAAGTTTTTTTTTCATTTCTCATTTAACAATGTACAGAAAAACAATTAAGCGAGTTGTTCAACACAAATTATCTACTTCACAGTGTCCATTATGGAACCATAACAATATTTCAAAAAAGCACTAATCGTAGCGATGAAAAGCTTGAGATTTGTACGATGAAAAATTGTGTATAAAAATAAAAAATGGTAATTAAATAGTAAAACATTCTTCATGGCACGCAAGCACACTTAACATTAGTTTTTTTTGTGGCTTTTCCTTAATATTCAACACTATTTTTCTTTCTAGTCTACTTTACGGTAAATTGCGTACACTTTTGATGCTTCGTTAATTAAATAATTTAATTTATTTATAGCCCATCATCTATCTTCACTTTCACTTGAAATCTCATCAACATAATAATAATATTTCACAGTATAAAGTGACAGAAGTGTGACATTATAGATCATGAGTCGTTCTACACATTAATCAAAGTTGATATGAGTTTTCAATCAAAAGTACTACATGGCATGTTTCTTGGAGCTGTACAGAAATGATGTTAATTACAAGATGCGATTTTTAAACACCCCTCTTCCAACCCCACCCCCCCCTTACCCCAGACTCATTACGCTGTTAGATGCAACACAACCTTGCAGCTCCATTACTGACGACCTTAGTTTGACGACATCACTTATGAACAACCCCCTCCCCAAACAGTTCACAAATCTCATAGCGAACTTTCAGTACATTATGGAAAATATCAACGAGAATTTTCAGTAAATGAACTAGGCGGACTGATTAATTCGTCATTCTGCATGCGACAAGAAATCGAAAGAATAAATTCTCATAAAGTAAGCAAGCGAATGAAACGCAATAGAAGTGACGGAAATTCGTTTTCGTATATAATTTTGTTTCTTATTGCCTTATTTTCTCGATAAGAAACAAATAAGAAGGAAAGAATAGAACCGAAAATTTTCTCTTTTGCTGAGATTTAAATAAATTAATTTAAGTCAGTGTAATTTTTCTTCTTCTCATGTCATTCGTGATTCTTTTCTACATTTTACAAACATTAGAAATGGAATTACTTGGTTGTAATGGATCTTTATGAAAATTTACTTCAGCTAAGGGCAAAATATGCCTATACCCAAAAGCTAGACGAAAAAGAAAATGTGGTGCAAAGAGGAATGAAGATGATGGGGAAATATATACTGAAAACCCGAGATGCACAGTTACTGGAGCTTAAAAGACGTCAAGACAATTTATTTAATGCGATTTTGAGTTTGATTGTGTTGTTCAGTGTTGTCCAAACTTTTTGAGCCACGGCACACTTTAGAGGTTAGCCATGACCAAAGTCACACATCATGCGAGTCGTGTTTTATTTCTAAAATATTTCTAAGGCACACAGTTTGGAGAACACTGAACCAGACAGTCACCCCAATTTTGTTTGTAATCCAGTCTTTAGCTAGTTTAAGGGCAATTTAAGAAGGTCAAGAAATCATAAATAATCAATATAAAATAGCTAATTAGGTAGGCAAGGAAGTAAGAAAGTTAAATGTTAAAAATAACTGGCCATAGTGCCTTAATCTCCTGTATGATATTTTATTTAGCCTCAAGGTCTACATAATGCCCATAACTTTACTATAAAACAACTAAATCTTCATTATTTTGCATATCCTGCAGAACACAACATAATAAATTCAATGCCAATAGCAAAGACTCCTTTTCTGTCTACATCCATACAAATCTCGGGATGAAAAGAGCACAATAACAATTTTCAGTCACTGACACTCAATAACCATAGCACATAACAATAATAATAATAATCAACTTCTGTTCCTTCTTTCGTCTTCCTTTGTGACTTAAAGAACTTTTTTTTTTCTTGGCTGATTCTCATTTTTCCTTTTTCGATGTTTTTAAAGGTTTCTTCTTCTTTTCTCTCCTTTAAACTTCTCGTTCCTTTCATTCTTTTTTTTTGTGTATTGTTGGAGAGAAAAAAACATATTTTTCAGCTTATTTTGTGGAAAAATGTGTCAAAGAAGATTGGAAAAAGTAGAAAGTTCTTAGGATCTCTCCTCAAAAGAATGAAGCATACAAAAAAAAAATAAAATTTCAATAATAATAATGTGAACGAAATGGATTTTCTTTTTTTGACTGTGGATTATCGTAAACATATTTGAAGTTTGTGGAAAAATCGTATGAATAAGGATCATAGATGAAAATTTTTATACACATGAGGAAATTTACGGGTCGGAGGATGGATGTGATCAACAAATAGCAGCGACAACATTTTCTGCTATTTTATCTTGAATAAATATCAAAATAAAATAAATTTATTATCGACCTACCCATATTTTTATGCTTTAAAGTAAGGAAGTTGTTGGGTGAGTTTAGGGAACTGATTGAGAATTTGTGGAAATTGAAGCATCTTAATAGCATTTAATGACTCGTTATGTCATAACTTTCATACAAATATATTGCAATTAAATAATTTAAATTTAAAGATCGAGTTCGAATCTCACGAATATTTCTGAATAATGACTTATTAAATTTCTTTTTTTTTGTATCAGTCGTCTGTAAATCTTTTAATGTGTAATTTATTCTCATCAAACTCTTTCCCAAAACTACTTAAAATAATCATCCCCCCCCCCACCCCCCTTAATTAAATTTTCTTAATTTATTCCTCCATCATTAAGTCTTTATTGTACAAAAATCATTCATAATTTAAAGTAAGCATGTCAACACTTTCAAAATTACCAACATATATTCATAAATACCAAGCTAAGGAACAGCACGAAAATCGATTCCAATAAATATCCCCATCGAAAAACATAAAAAAGGAGAATTCAATTGGCACTTTCAAGCCCATTTTAAGTTTGTTTTCATTTCTCAAGAAATAATTTACTGCAGTAACAAAAGGAAGGCACAGAAAAAACAAAAGCAGAGACTTATTTTTACTGCAGCTCGTGAGAAATATCGCTGAACATTAAATATATCAACATTGAGGAATCATCATCATTTTTAACTTTCTCATACAAATAAACATTCATTTTCAATCGCTTCTCTTTGTTTTCAATTTAAATAAATAGCAAATTGCTTTCAAACAGCATAAAGACGCCGTCTGAAATGTTTACATTTTCTTCATTTCTCTAAGTAAGAGATTGAATGGAAATGAGACAGAAGTGAGGAGATTTTTTTATTAGGGGGTGGTACATAAGTGACGTCTATCTAAGAGTCTGTAGCTTTATGATTATCAATTCACAAAAATATGCTCAGAAACAGGATTGAAGGGGTTCTGTAAACCAAATTTTATAACCTGACGTAACTTATAAACAACCCTCAATATGAAATTTTAGACTTTTTGCCGACTTTCAATCAAAATAATTTTCTTTTTTTAAAAATAATTCCATTATTCGCATTTTATGTACTGTAAATCAAATCTTTTATGTTACTGTGCACTGTCTATACAGACAACAATGACTTTAATTGATCGACAACAACATGAGAGATACATACATAAAATTATTGTGTATACATTCGGTTGTGTACTTTAACCTTTCAAAAATCTGTGTTACTTAATATCTTTGGCCATAAGAAAATGGTTGAGGAAAAATACCCCTTCCGGGACTAATATCATATTTCACCTTATAATCTTAATATGCTTTATGGCACCAATATTTTGGAGCAGCTCCCTGAAACATTATTTGATTTAGTAACATCGAATAACTTTGTTGTGTAAATAGCATAGGGATTTGATGTGTTCGGATAGTCCCGGCAAAATGTGAATGCTGAATCATTTTATGCTACTTTTTGGATTGGCAATACTTTTGTAGTCAATAAGGGCTTTTGCTAAATTCAAAATACAGAAATAAAATAAACAATTGTAAGCTGCAATGCTGCAAAACTGATTATTAAATGTCCAAAATCATGTGTTCAAATCTCTAGTAAGATTACTTATTGTTCAATATTTCCTTAATATGATAAAGTTTTTTTTTGTAAGTTGATCTTCAAATTATGCTGAACAGATAGTTTTTGAAAAGATAGTGAACTTGAAAGTAAAATAGAAAACATCTCACGTGTCTACCCGTGTCTACCAATGTTATTCGTTTTCTGGACGAATTACAACAAAATGAAACTATTTTACAGGTTAAAATTTAACTCAATTCCCGGAATATTCACAAAAATCTCAGAAACCCTACGAAAAGGACGAACACACGTACAAACCAAAGATACAATATAAATTGCAATGTATCGAATTTGTTCGACCTCTCGGATCTTATTTCAACTTGAAATATAAAGCATAATAATTGGGATTCAACATTATCTCGAGAGCCCTTTCAGCTTTATGCCTTATACTTATTCTTTTTTTATAGACTTTCCATATTATATGTCCATACGATATTCTTAAAAAGCCACACGCACATAACAAAAGGCGAATCGGAACAACAAAAAAAGTTATGACATAAAAGAAAAGAAAGGAAAAACAAGTATGAAATGTTCTCGTAAACAATTCATGTAGTTTATTATTTTTGCGTATTGATTGCCGTGCTGATAAAAATTAGTCGACGTTAAGTAAGAAAATATTTTCGGGGTTGTTCATCTAAAGAATAATTATAGCAATTTTGTTTCTGTGGAATTGAAAGGAAAACCTCACATTAAGATAATCTCAAAGTGTAGGCTTGAGTTATTTCATCAGGAAGTGACTGATCCTCAACTTGGAAATAATTTTACGTTGTTGAGTTTCATAACGGATGTTTAAATAAGTGGAAGATTAAGGAAGTAAATTGAGTGAAAATTGCTGGGAGTTTTTATGAGAAAATGTAGAGTCATTTATGTCACCTTTGAGTTTGGTTTATTTTTAATGTTTTGGGCAATTTAGCATGAGTTTGTCATGATGCTTCAGAACTTAAATGACGGGATATCCCAAACATTTATTTAGATATGGAAAATTGATGTTTTCTGAACTAAGTTTATGAATTTTCATGCAAACTCAACTGGATGTAATAAATTTTAAACTTTACTGATGTTTTTAACTCAGACTGGCTTGAATGTTTTTAAACATCCTTAATTATCGGGATGATTGTAACATTTTGAGCCACTTTCAATGAAATCTTGTATTTTTGTGGCAACCAAACAGTCTTAAAGAGAGACACAATATGGTAGTTATAGTCATAGAGTAGCCAGCTTTTATGTCAAGCAGTATAATTTACTATGTGAATCCTTCAAAACCCCGTCCTATCCATTATCATGCAAGCTAAGAGTCGCATTCGCAGTCTTAAACCCAATATTCTCAAAAATGTATCTCTAGTCAGACAAAAAGCCTCGATCCTGTCAACACTTCCCACCTTAATATGCTAAACTAAAAATCAACCAAAAGTCATCATCAATTCCAAAACAGAAAGAATAAATGAAGAAGAAGCCAAATAACAAAAAATTGGTGGAAGTATTGAAGAAAGAAATTTATGTTTTCATACGTTTGGAGACATAAAAACAAGAAAATAAGCATCTTCTGCCCTCACCATAAAAATTATATATTTCTTTTCTTCTTTTGATGGCTTTTGATACGGATCTTAAAAATATTTATTTATTCCTAACATTTTTTCGTCTTCCTAACCGTGGTTAAGTGCATATCAATGCGCGCACATGTCATATGTGTGAATACATATGTCTTTGTGGATATAGATTTTGTCATTGTATGACTTTTTGATTTGCTTTAATTCTATTGCGTCACATATATATGGTAATAAGGAACTTCAAAAGATTCTATTCGAGAAGCAAAAAGTAGGGGAATAAAATCGTAAATCCGATTTTCTCTACTTACAAATGACTTGTTTATGCTGATCTTAAGTACCCCCGAAATAACACACAAAAAAAATGTTTAAATAAAAAATAAATTGAAGAGATGAAAATAGCTTTCTAATGTTGAAAAAAATCATCGTCCCACTATAAGGGTGTCATCTATAACTCACGTCTATGAGAAAATTTAACTTTTGATTCCAATAACTTATTATAAATTTTTTAAAAATTTACAAAATATTCCATAGTCAAAATGACATTCAGTAAACTAGACGTCATTCAGATACAATCCCCAATCCGATAATCATTTTTTGCGATTTAATCTACATCCAAGAAATAAACTCCAAACGTAAGCTGATTCGATTATCGAGAAGAAAAGAATTAATTGAATTTTTAACATATCGTTCTCACCTGCTTACTGGCATCAAAGCATTCAGGTTCAATACAGACATCGGATCTCATATAACTGGGAATGTATGGCCATACGATTGCTAAAATGATGATAGTGAGCAATAAAATAGCACAAAGGACACTTAATATTAAGAACGGCAGTCGTGATTTTTTTGATACTTCATAACGGTCGTAAATTGCTTCAAGATACCGACTCGGATGATTTTGATTTTTTATGGAACTTTTATTGAGCAGAACGGAATCTGTGTTATCAGCATCGACAGGCGTTGATGCTGTACCACCACTCTCATGTCCACTATTTTTCTCTGCATCCTCATGCTCATCTTCGGGTATTGGAATCTTTGTTAACTGATCAATCATCCGTTTGTTATTGTTTACACTTTTTCTTGCCAAAAGCTTCTTCTCTTCAGCTGCTCGAATATTTGCATATCGATCAACTGCTCGCGAATCTCCATTTGTAAGATTGGTACTATTGTTATTGTCCTGCATTGTTGCGTCTATTGTGGGTATATTAAAATGATCAATATTGTGGCTTGGTGATGGACTATGGAAACTAAAAGGTGAACGCGTAAACTTTAAAATTTTGACACGTTGGCTGTGATCGATTTGTAAGAAAATAATGTTTGATTCGTCTATTCTATTATCCGTTATCACAAGAAATAGGTTTTTTCTCTTCTTTTTATGTTGAACTATAAATATTTAAATAACTTTTTATCTAATTTGATAAATTCATGACCCATTCACAATCATGATTTTTCTTTCGTATATCTATCTTGTCTATCAATATAAATTCCATATGTTGCATTTGTCACATGCATAAATATCAATTTAGTTCCACTATTCGCTATTTGTTGACGTATCCTCGTCTCACCTTGTCTTAATTAAGTCGCTTCTGGAATGAGAAAATGTTAAATAAAATCCATAAATTATTTTAGCTCTATGCTCAATCAAATGAAAATAAATTAATTAAAAAAACACACACATCTATTGCCTCTGCTGTTTCATGATGTTTGTTAAGACAGACTCGAGCTATGAGAGCGTAGGAGATATTCAAATTGATAATGAAAATCGAATCTCAATTACGGTAATTTTCAAATTCCTGTAGAATACTAATGCATAACTGCTATCAAGTGTTTGCATGTGTGAATACTCTCTCGTTGTTGAACATACAGTTTCTATTTTATTAAGCTGATGCTGTTGTATCTAGCATATTATATATAGCTTTAGAGTCTAGATATGCGACCTTGAAAATTAATTTTGCTTTTTTCCAACAATTCGCAAACAAAGCAAAAATTGCTTTTCTATATTTTTGACGGTTATTGAGATTAAAAAAAAAATGAAGTTTTCAGTTTGTCTTGTCATTTAAAAAATACTTTAAAAAATAATACTGCAATTACTAATAGGACTTGGTTCTTATAATCATTTTCAATACCCTAACAAGGACTTGAACCTTTAATCTTAACAATTTTAATGACTTTTATCATTTAACATAATTTCAATCTTAAAAGAACTGTTGTAAATTTTTGATACCTTAATCTGATTTGACTTAGTAGATTAAGAATATAAATGACGGCTATTAGATTTGATTATGCTAAGCTAATCTCTTGAGTGTTACACAAGATCACAGCGATAGAACCTCATCATCTAAAACCATGTAAGAGTAGCATTTGCTTTGAGTATTTAGGATATTCTGAATGTCTCCAACTCCCTAGCAAAGCTTCTAGCTTTGAAGTAGTTCCATATGAATCCTAGATTCAACCTAGATTACAATCAAAGTCAAATGCGCCTCATTCAAAGTAATAATTAACCGCATTTTTTTCAATCTTTTCCATTCTTTATTTTCATCTATTGCTGCCGATACAGACAACGACTTTTGCAGCACAGTAAAAATAGAATCTCCAATTACAGTCTTCTTTTTTTTGGAGAATGAAAAATAAAAATGATTTTTTTTTTTGTTTGTTTCGATGAAAAGAAAATTTGAGATGAGAGGAAAATGAAAATTCCCAATTAGAATATTGTGAAAAGTTCGTGCGGAATCGATATTCGACTACGCAAAACGATATTGCATGAATCAATAAAGTCATTTCATAAAAAAAAAATATAGAAGCTGATTGGAGTAAGACACAAAAAGAAAAGAATAAAGGCAACAAAAAAAAATAGAAATTTTCGTTCATATCTTCGCATCTCCTCTTCTGCCTACGTCTAATTAATTTAGCAAGAAAAAAAGTGGATGCTTATGTATCTATCTACATCTCGTACATGCCGTCTATTAGAACGAAAGTATCAGTAGCAACGGAAGGCGAAAAAAGAGAATATTACATTGAGATTATGTTCAAGCATATTAGTGAATGGGTAGTGAGGAAAATGAAAGTAAACAGATAAAAACGAGCAAATGTGTGAAATTTCTGATCATTCATCGGACATGTAAATGTTTACATAATAAATTCACATAAACGCAGAAAAAATAAGACATTGGAAAAGGATGAAAATAAATAATTGGTTCTATCGATATCTCAACATTTAAGACAGTGTGTAAGGGGTGGGAGATAATGAGAGAGAGAGAGAGATTGTGTGTAAATGTATAGACAGAAGACGCTGATAATTATTAGCTCATTTCCTCGAAAGGAAATGTTTGCACGGATTGTAATTATGGTCGTTAGCTAGAGGATGCACATCTGGTGGGTTTTTTTCTGAAATTGATTGGTTATGAGGAGGATTATTGGGCGATGTTGTGTCATATTTTGTCATTTTTTTGTACTCTTAATTTGTGTAGTTGTGCTTATGTCTATAAAAGGATGAAAAATGCAAAGCAATTCAAAATTGAAAGATTAACGGTTGGCGATCGCCATTTGCTTCTCGTTTCGTTTGTTGCTTTCGTAATTTCATTGTTGAAGAATTTAACGGAACTGCCTTCTTAAAATTGCTCAAAGCCTGTGTCGAGCTATTATTTTATGGAGCAGAGGTAACAATAACGTAGCCATGAAAAAGCTTTTCAAGCTTCAACCCCAACTAAAATCATCTCTATTTCCTTAGCTGCATTACAAATTAATGTTCCTTACAACATCATAATAGTTACGACCTTAAGTTTCCTTAAACACTTTTCAGCGTACGCCCTTCTGAGATAGTTTGATTGGAACAAACTTTGGCTAATTTCAGCACATCTCAAGATCCATCAAGTGATCTATCAATGGATTGCAGCACACAGTATCAAAGTCTACAAAATAAAACTCAATCCTCAAAAACAACTGTCAAAAAATGCAAAAATGTCCATTTTTCATCTTTTTCAGCTAGAAAGTTCACAAATGCGCAAAATACAACTGTCAATATGTACATCCATTCCTCCTATCAATATTCTACTGCATACACTCGAATTGTATACACAAAAACTCAACAGACAGAATGGAATAGAGGGCAAAATCAGGTCAAGAAGGTACACGAGAATATAGAACGAGCACAAAAGGGATTTTTCTTTCACGCATCTTTATTGCATTATCATTTACTTACTATAAGCTATTCCACGTAATCATGGTTATAAATTCAACATGCGTATTTGGAAATTTTATTGTGACAAATGGCACTTACTTCCTTTTTTTCATCAAATTTACACATTCATTTCCAGTTCTTTTTTTTAAAAAATGGGAAACTCGTATTGCACGAGCATTTATCCCTTTTGACCTTGAAAATGTGACAGCTAACAGCCTTCCCTATTTTTTTTTCTACATACACATTTCTGCAGCACCTCATAAATTTCAATTCTTCTTATTTTTCGATTCTCTTGCCTTTCATGTACAAATTTTTTTTAAAAATACAGAAAGGCAGAATAACACAAAATTGGGGAAGAAGAAGGGTTCGAATTATTATAAATTCAAAAGCGTAGTTTGTGCATTATTTAAATATTTTTGTTGTTTCTATAAATGTGTATATATATATGAGAATAAGCAATATTGCTATGCAGGAATAATTATTTACATTTTGCACGGTAGCTGTGTGAACCAAACCAGTTTTCTGGAGTTGAATATTTAATGAACAATTCCACAATATTTTAACTTTCATAGCTGCAACTAAACTATTTTTTTCATGCAAATTATTAAAAGACGATGCATAAACGTTTTGGGAAGTAAATTAAAATGAGAAATATCTGAACGTAGCTGGAAATGAGATGTTTAAATTATGGTCGGGTCAATTTGATGAATTTTTCACGCCTTTAACGATGTTTATTTAAAATTCATCCTTTTATGACGAGATTTAAATAAATATTCTTTCAACTTTTCATTCTCACATTAATTTATTTATTTTGCCATAAAGATCATTTTCATTTGAGTTTGTTTGGATTTCACTGTCTGAGTGGTTTAATGGGGCGTCTAGGGGTTATGAAGATTGGAGATGGATATTTTTGAAAAAGGAAATTTCAATTTTTTTTTTGATTTTCTTAAAAATATTCTTAATCGAGAAATGTTAATATAGTTCCAAGAGTAAGTCGTCAGATCCAGCAACCCTTAAGATCCTTAAGTTTTTCATAAAAAGCAGCTATTATGACTCTTATTTAGAGTCAAGAGTCTCAAGCGATAGCTATCGATCCTAAAACATCTATAAAGTCAAAGTTTTTTAAGTAAGGAATTAGACAAAGAAGGCTCATCTCTAGCAGGTGACATTTGTCTCTCAAAATAAACAAAACATAAAATAAGAGCCGACAGTAAGCCATTAATAAAATTAACTGCACAAATTCGTCCCACATTCCCATAATCAGAGCAATTTAACTCTATAAATAAAAGCAATTGAGAATCAGCTGTTCATGAGCACGTGCACTGCAATGATAGCCACAAAATCAAGTACAGTTAAATTCCAGCACGAATAAACATTATGGGCATTTATAGCAGAGATTGTAATTGATTATCTGTTGAAACGAATAAAACTCTCAAGAGATTTATTGTTGCTGTTTCGAATGTCGAGAAAATGGAACCGCTGTATGAATATTTGGATTTATTTCCAGCGTAATGCTCTCGTTATTAATTATGATGATTTGTTTACAATAAAAATGACTTAACGATGAAAGAAAAATCAATTGATGGTGAGAGATTATAAATTTGATATTATCATGATTCGATGAGTACATACAGCATGAAATCTCAACCTTTAATAAGATCATACACGTGAATGTGTTTATTGGATGTGAATCCACATTACGAGGTGCGAGAATAAAACCAAAGCCGTGATTTTTCTTTACGTTTATTTACGCGAAAAATGCAAAGCACATAAAAAAAAAAAATATGTTAAATAACTCTATAAACATGGAATCTCCTTTATCTATGTAGAGTATATCATAAAGATACATTTATTTTCATACATAAACATAAAACAGCATCATTTGATGACAGCATTGAAATGAAACATAAATAAAGAATAGTTTAAGCATAAAACTGTCATCTCAGCTTTTCATCGTTTCGTCAACATAAAAAGGCAAGAAGCTAACATTATATAATGTTTTTTTTTTCGTCAAATGATTTATGCTCTCTGTCTTTATTTTTGTCACATAGATTCACACACACACACACGACATAGCACACGATGGAAAGAAAAATGAATGGAGCAATGAATGGGGGAGAGAAAAAAAAATTGTCATGAAAATAAATAAGCGATGAGTCTAATCAGCATTTTATGAGTCATTGGAGGGTGAAGGAGAAAACATGGAAAATGCATTTTCAACACTTCTCGAGAAAAAAATAGTCAGAAAAATTTAGTGATCTACATTGAATTGTGAAAGAAATACCAACAGGTGCATACACACATTGCAATTGCTTGGCTTTTTAAAGCACATAATTGATGGCATAGTTTTCCACTTTATTTTTTATATTTTTCTTTCTTAGCTTAATTTTTCAACGACGTTAAGGCACT